CCACTCTTCCATGTGACAAATTTCCAAATACTTAAAGACAGTCATTAGCCAGCCAGTCAGCCAATAAATATTTATTAAGCACTTACCATGTACCATGTAGGGGGATACAAATACAAAAAGGAGAGACAGTTCCTGCCCTCATAAGCTTACTACCTAGTAGGGGAAACAACCTACAAAAGGAAACGGAAAAGCATCATGAGGGCACACTGGAGACGTTCAAAGAAAGAGGGGAATGCAGAGATGCTGGCCTGGACACCGGGCTTCAGTGGAAGGAGGTTCTGGCAGGAGCCTTCACTCTCCACTCAGGGGCTCTCAGGGGCAGAGGATGGGTACCGATGAGGTATGAGTGCCTCAGTGATCTGGCAGGATGATGAGGTCCCTGGAGGCATGATGGAGAGGTCCAAAGGAGTGAAGTCTAGATTTCTCTTTTCCAGGCAGGGATATCTATCTATCTATCTATCTATCTATCTACCTATCCATTTATCTATCTATCCACCCATCTATCATTTATCTATATATCTGTTTACCTACCTATCCATCTATTCTTCTATATCTATGTATCTATCCATCCATCTATTCATCTATCATCTATTTACCTACCTACCCACTCGTCTATCTATCCTTCTATCTCTATCATCTATCAATCTCTCTATCTATTGATCTATCTATCCTTCTATCTATCCATCATCTATCTATCCATCCATCCATCCATCATCTATTTGCCTACCTACCTATCCTGTCTATCTCTCATTTATTTCCCTCTCTCTACCTACGTACCCATCTATCTATCATTCCATCTCTATCATCTATCAATCTCTCTATTGATCTATCTATCCATCCATCCATCCATCCATCCATCCATCCATCTATCCATCTATCTATCCATATATCTATCTGCTTACTGAGTGAAAAGGTCTTCCTCCATCTGGTCTCACCCTAGTAAGATAGCCTAGCTGAATGACTCTCATTCCACTGAAAGGGTATGGGCGTGATCCTTTCTCATTCATTCCTTCCCTTCCCTCAGTAAATTTGCTAAGTAAACTTAGGCACGTAAGAAGCCCAGTGGATAGAATGCTGGGCCCGATGTCCAGAGGTCTGGCATTGGACATTTACAGGCTGTGCAGCCCTGGGAAGGTCACTTGATTGATGTCTACCTCAGTTTCTTCATCTGTAAAATGAGGGTGATAATACCACCTACCTCCTAGAGTTGTGAAGATAAAATGAGATAATGTTTGCAAAGTGTTTTGCAAACTTGGAAGCCTTATTTAAATAGCAGCTATCATCATCATTGTGGCTGTTATTTTTGTTGCTGTGTATCTGTGCCCAGCCCCATGCCCAGCAAAGATGAGGCCTTCTCCAAAGCTCCCTTGGTGGCATGACTCTCAGTTGGGGGTGCCCAGGTAGAAAGACTATGTGTGAGATGGACTGCCAGTGGCTCAACGGGCACCAGAATAGCTCGCTAGCCTCTGAGACAGTCAGCTCACTGGTTGGTGAGGCATGTGCTCTGAATTAGCCAGACTGAGTCCTCCAGCCTTGGGGAAGAGAGCTCCTGAATAATTTGATGGGAAACTTGGTGGTCATTGTATTTTCATGAGTTGTCTGTTCAAAGGCAGGCTGGGGGGTGTCTGGAGAAGGAACAAGTGGGTGTGCGTGGGTGTGAGTCCTAAGGAGAGGGGAGGGGTCAGGAGGTGAAAGACTTCTCTTGGCTTTGCAAGCCAGGGACTCAAGGACAAGCCTTGGGGCTGAGCCCCCATCCCTTCCTCTGCCTCACGCCCACTGCCTCCCTCTCTGGGTCTCTCTGTCATGAGCTGGTTGGGTTAAATGACCTCAGAGACTTCTCCTGCCTCTGACTGCTGGGTTCTAAGCTCTCACAGTGCTGACATTTCAAGTTCTATCTTCTAATGCTCTTCCAGCCTCTGTCTCCTGGGTTCCAGATTCTAAGGCTCCTCACGGTTTTGACAGTCTAGGTTCTAAGTTCTAAGGTCTTGCCCAACTCTGACGTTTTGGGTTCTATGTCCAGCCATGTGCCTCGGAACTCTGCATACTCATAGGCCATGCGTCCTCTGCAGGTTCAACAGTACATTGATTTTTGACCCCCAAACTAGAGAAAATTCCCATCTGAAAGTCCAGGTGTATGAAACAGTCTGAGGCAAGGGCTCCAGGTTCACATTTTTTTTTTCTGTTCTCAGAGAATCCCAGAGAACTGCATGGGCTATGGAAGACATTGCAGGGTTAGTGGGTCCAATGTTACCCCAATTTCTCCGAAAGGAGGTCTCCAGGGGCTCTTCTGGGTGATTATGTAATAAAACCACCTCCAATTTCTCCAGCGCTTCATACCCAGAACCTCACATGGTCTTCCCAAAGGTCCTAGGAAGCAGGTGGTAGAAATGGCATTGTCCCCATTCCGTAGACTAGGACCCTGAGGCTCTGAGGTTCAGGTGATTTATCCAAGGCCATATGGTTAGCAGCAGAGCTAGCACCCAAACTCCAGTCAGATCACAGGACTGGAGGATGTTTGAGGGATCATTTAGAACCACATCTTTATTTTATGGAGGAGAAAACTGTGACTGCAAATTTCTGACCCCAAACCACACAAGCAGAGGATTCAAACCCAGGGCTTTCTTCACTGCCCCATAGTGCCACTGGCAGCTCCTGGGTAACTCAGCTCCCGTCACTCTCCATGGGGTTGCCTGGCTCTGGTGGTTGGGACCTGCAGCCAGGAGGCCTTGGGCAGCCAGTGAGTCATGGAATTTCAGAGCAGGAGGGACCCCGAGGGGGCATCTCATCCCAGTGAATGTACAAACTGACCCAGCTAAAATCCCCCCTCCTACAGGAAGCCTTCCCAACCTCTGAACTCCAGCACCTTCCCTCTGCTCAGGATTTCCTATTTTTCCTGTACAGAGCTTGCTTCGTCTATATTTGTCTGCATGTGGCCTCATTAGACTATAATTAGACTCATTAGACTATAAACTCCTTGAAGTCAGGACCTATCTTTTGCCTCTTTTTGTATCCCAAGTGCTTAGCACAGTGCCTGGCACACAGCAGGCACTTAATACATGTTGACTGATTGCTGGAGAAGGCTGTGTAGCAAAATACTCAGGCCCACGAGTTCAGAATGACTCCACCAATCAATTAATAAGCATCTATTAAGGCCCTACTGTGCTCCGGTCCCCCTGTGGGGACATGAAGCAAGGTTAAAAGCCTCACCTTCCTGCCCTTGGCTTCGCCGTTAGAAGGGGATGCTGTGTCCCACTTCCCTCCGTTTACTGGAACCACCTGGACTCTGCCACCTCTGCCAGATGAAGGGTGCCCGGAAAGTGGCAGCCGAGGCCGCGTCTGTGTCTGCCTCAGGAGCTGGCCTGATCTCCAGCAGCGGCAACGACGGACGCAAGGTCTCCTACCTAGAAATTTACTGGCCACGTGAGCCTGGGCACGGTCCTTTAACCTCACTCAGCCTCAGTTTCCTGCTCTGTGAAGCAGAGATCACAATAGCCCCCACTTCCTGAGGCTGCTGCTAACCATCATGAGCTTCGTCCTTTTGCCTCGCTCGGCCTGTTTCCCCTCTGGTCCCAGCCCAAGGCTGGATGTTCATTGGGAGCCGTCCCAGCCATGATTCTCTCAGCCACGTGGGAGTGGGTGGCATCCTCCGTCAGAAGAGGCATCTCAAAGTAGCTGGGCTGTGCAGGAGGTAGAGACGGGAATGACTCACAGAGTGGCTCCATCCCCACTTGGCCCAGGCCCCAAAGGGCCTGGGTGTCTTCCCAGCCTCCGCCCTGCTGCCTCAGGTGGGTGTAGACCCGCCTCCGTGGACCGGGATTCCTTTCATCTTGACGCAGAACTGGTCATGAGCTCTCCCTCCTGGCCTCGGCCGTCTGCTGCCCATGTGACTCCAGCTCCATCTTCTCTGCCCATGTTCGTCCTAATGGAGCGACCGCCCACATGTCTATAGCTTTGGACGGTTTGCCAAGAGCATCACATGACATCCATTACCTCATTTAGCCCTCCCAACAAAGCCACGAGGTCGATGGTATTATTATTATCCCATTTTACAGACAAGGAAACTGAGGCCCACCACTGCCATCTGCCTGTGGTCACACAGAGTGTCAGAGGTGGCATTCGAACTCAGGTCCTTCTAAGAGCAACACCAGCTCCATGACCTCACCCTGCCTTTGCACCTGAATAATGGTCCCCTTCTATAGTTTTCTGCCTTTGAGAGGAGGCCTCTGCCTTTGCCCTGGGTGGTTTGTTTGAAGGCTTGTGATTTCACTGATGCAGGAAAAGCTGTGTAAGGAAATGCCCTCTATCAGTGCAGCTCAGCCCCAGCTCTGCCACTTATAATTCTCTAGGGCACTTGGAGATAAGTGACCTACCCAAGATCACCTGGCTAGGGAATGTCAAAGGTAGGATTTGAACCTGGATCCTCCTGGCTCTATTTCTTTAGCCAAGCTGCCTTTCATGGTCTGTTCCCAGGGCCTTAACCATAGGGCAAAAGGGAGCAGTTCTGAGAGAGAACAAGGGATGTGGCGTTAGGACCATCTGTCCAGCTTTCCCCGGCATCGTTCATGGGCTCTCAGCCCTGGAAGGTACCTCTGAAGTCATTGCATCCAGTCCTCTGACTTTACAGGTGAAGACACTGAGGTTCAGGGCTGAGAAGGAACTTCTCTGAGGTCACACACAGTGACTCCAGGACAGAGTAGAGCCTGGCTATCAGACTTCCTGTGTCCTCCTCCTTGGCCCAAAGCCCCTTCCACCCGCCCCCATCCTGTTGGCAGATGAAGCTCATCTCCCACCTCCGAAATGAGGGCCTCTGGACATCCTGTCCAGGGTTCCAGTGAGCCTCTCACCCCCTAATAACTGACCCCTTCCAGGTCCAGTGGGGCAGGTCAGAATTGCGGGCCAGAAAGCCTGGGCTGGCCAGCAGAGGGTGAGAGGCTCAGCTGGGCCTCCCAGGCCTGCTCAGATCCCTCCCTGCCTGCCCTCCAAGCCAGTCTGAGCAGCCTGGCCACCCCTCCCTGGCTCCTAGAAATCCCCAGGGGGCGGGAAGCGTGGCCAACAGGGCCCTGAGCTCAGCCTCACCCCTCCCTGGAAGGCAGCGATCATGAGACTTTGGAGAAACCCAAATTAGCCACTCTCCAGGCGAGAGTTTCCTCATGAATGTGGTATCTGTCACATCCTGCAGTACAGACAAGCCAGGCCTTTCAGACAGCTGTTGCAGCCTCCTCCAGAGCTGAGCTGGGTCCAGGAGATGTGGAAAAGCTGGTGCTCTGAGATCTCTGGACCGAGGTAAGTCCCTGCGGGCCCCTCAGCCTCATCGGACGGTCCTTGATTGCTGCTCGGCCCTGAGAGCTCCTTGTAAGGAGAGCCCCCACCCACCTTATGCTGGGAGGATCTCTTTCATCTTCCAGCCCTTGAAAGTGCTTAAAACCCTGCTGGAGCATTGTACCGGATGGGTCTGGTGCTGAACCTGTCTGTGCATCTGCTGGTGAGAAACAAGTAAGCAAGGCCTTCAGGGTTATCTCCACGAGGGGAAATGGGTACAGGGAGATTAAGTGACTTGCTTCAAGTCCTTATCAGTAAACATCTGGGAAGCCCTCCTGGACCTGGCACCATGCTTGGCCCTAAGCGATGCTCAGCTCATCTCACCCCTCAAAATCCCAGCTCCCTTCAAAGCAGAGGCCCGTGACCTTTCCTGACCCTCCCCCAACCCCCTCCCCAGTTGTTAATGCCCTCCACCCCAGCCCTGGGAATGTTCCACAGTGCTTTTCTAGAGAAGATGCAGTTGCTTTTCTGGATACGGGTGGTTTCTCCTGACAGGATATAACCCCCCCTGAGGGCAGGGACAGTTTTTTGTCCTTCTCCTCTCTCTAGTACGTAGTAGGCACTCAATAAATGCTCACTGCATTGGGATCTCATTGAATTGAAGCCCAGAGTCGTACGACCTTGGAGTCCAAATACCCAATGTGTTCAAGCCTGGGGTCCGTGGACCACCAGACCCTCCCTGTATCTCCCACCCCAGAACTCGGGAATTTCTCTCCTTACTCTTGCCAGAGAGGCAGTGGGCCAGGGCCTGGCCCCAGGGGTGTGTTGTGACCCTGCAGCAGGAAGGCAGGAAGCCTCCCCCAGCCAACAAAAAGGAGTAGACACCACCTTCTTGGCCCTTGGGTCCACTGAAGGAGACAAATGTGAAGGGGACAGAGTCCCTGCCTCGGGGTTCCCCGGTCTAGAGGAGAAAGCCATTGACAACTGGGACTTGGAGTCAGGAAGGGCCTGAGGGGGACCTATTCCCAACACTGACTGGCTGTCTGACCGTGTGTTGAACCCCTCTGAGACTTGGTCTTCTTATCTGTAAAATGGAGATAATCCCGAAAAGAGGAAAGGTGTGGGGTCAGAAGGATCAGATTGGAGAAGCTTGCTGAGCCTGGGAGGGCCTCAAAATGCCTGGCCAATGACTATTTATATCAATCCCATTCAAACCAAGAAATGCTCATTAAGGGCCAGGCACTGTCCTAGGCACAGAGGGATACAAAATAAATATTAGAGTTTCGCTGTCCTCATGGAGCTTGGTGGAAACCATATGTCCACAGAGAAGAAAATACGAAGTCTAGGCAAACCAATGTATTCCAATGGAAAGACGGCCACTGCCCGTCCAAGCAGGAGACCCTGGCCCATTACTGACCTCTGCTCCTTACAGACCTGCTATCTCCTGCTAGTGTGACCTCAAACATCAGGATGGGGGGGGGGCTGGGTAACCTCATCTGACAAATACAAAAGAATTGAGGGGAGGATGCCCTAACCCTGGGTGCAATAAAGAAAGACTTCCCAGAAGAGGGGGCATGGACGCAAAGCCTTGAAAGAAATTGGGGATTCTAAAAGGCCGAGGCGAGGAAGGAGCGAGTTCTGGGCCCATGCGTCAGCCTGGGTAAAGGCAGAAGCCAGGGATCAGAGCTAGGGGCACGCAGCTATCAATCAAACTGGGTACTAGTGGGAGAGAAAAGACAAGATCAGGAATATCCCTTACCTCTCTTGCCTTCTTATTTCTCAGGGCCTTATTATAGCTCTAGAGCTTGAAGAGACCTCAGAGGCCCTTGAATCCAACCCTCTCCTTTTACAGATGGGGAAACTGAGGCCTGGAGAGCCCAGGTAGTACAGAAAAGAGTCACATTCGAACTCGGGTCCCAGGACTCCAGGCTTGGTGCTCCTCCCACTTTGACACGCAGCCTTCCCACTAAGATGGGTGGCCCCGCAGAGAAGGGGAAGCCACTTAGGCGGGGGGCAAGCCTAGGAATCAGAAGGGCCTTCATGTCCAACAAGCACTTCCAATTCTTCATTCCTCGGTGCAGATACAAACACAACTTCTGCGCTGTCCACGCAAAGTGGCCCCAGAGACTCCATTTTCGTCAGAGCTCAGCAGGACTGCTCTGGGGACATCTTCTCCAGTGGAGTCTCAGCGTTCGCCCGTCCTACCAACCTGGAAAGCCTCCCACTGGGACCCTGGGAGGTTCCCGGGGGGGTCTGCTGGACCCTGGGAGGTTCCCGGGGGGGGTCTGCTGGACCCTGGGAGGTTCCCGGGGGGGGTCTGCTGGACCCTGGGAGGTTCCCGGGGGGGGGGTCTGCTGGACCCTGGGAGGTTCCCGGGGGGGGGGGGTCTGCTGGACCCTGGGAGGTTCCCGGGGGGGGTCTGCTGGACCCTGGGAGGTTCCCGGGGGGGGGTCTGCTGGCCGTGGAGAGCCTCGCTTACTCTGCTGGACAGCTCCCAAATCGGCACTGGCCATAGCAGGGATGACTCTTTTGGTCCCGGCCAGCTCATCCTCCAGGATGGAGGCATTGGGGGAGGACAGCCCCACCCAAACCAATAAATCCCTGAAATTCAGCCAACGCCCACCCACTACCCCTCCCTTCACCCAGATTCAGTGTGCAGGCTGCCCCGACTGCGGACCCTGCTGGGGATATTTGAACCTAATTTCTCTTTTACTTTATGTTTTATTTATGCTGGGGTTTGGGCTTTTTTTTCGTTGTTATTTTCTTTAACATCTGTCACTTCCTACAGAACCCTCCCCCACAGAACCCTCCCTTCAAAGAAGGTTAAGAAATAGTTAAACATGACAAACTAACTTTTCAGTGATGTTTGACAGCATGTATTCAGTCTTCCGCACCCATAGTCCACCACCTCTCTGCATTGAGGGGGAGTTACATCCCTGGCATCAGTCCTCTGGAAGCAAAATTGGTCATAGCATCAATCCAATCACTAAAGTGATTTTCCTCTGTTACTCTGGCCATCAAGAATGTCCTTCCCTTGGCTCTGAATCTGCCTGGCATCAGCTCAGAGGAATATGCCCAGGTTTCCCAGAGTTCCTTGTGGTCACCATCTCTTATGGCACAAAAATAGCCCTTCTCCAAGATTTCTACAGAGGTTTCTCAGCTACTGCCCTAGACCTGATGGGCGCCCACTTGGATTTCAGCTTTTCTGTGTGTCTGATTTCTCCTGTGACTGTGGCTTGGTTCTCTCTTAGGCAGAGAGAGGCACTCTGGGAGACAGGAGGCACATTCTAGCCAGGGTCCCCCAAAGGCCCGGAGGTGGTCATTTACCAGAGAAGAATCCAAAAAGTGCTGAATGAGGAAGTTAGACAGGCGGAGGGGAGAGAGGAAGAGAGATAGAGACAGACAGAGACAGAGGGAGAGGAAGAAACAGAGACAGCGAGAGATAAAAACAGAAAAGGGGGGGAGAGAGAAGAGAGAGGGGGAGGGGGAAGGAGAGAGAGAGAGAGGGGAGAGACAGAGAGAGGAGAGAGAGAGAGGGGAGAGACAGAGACAAAGGGAGAGGAAGAAACAGAGATAGAAACAGAAAAGGGAAGCAGAGAAAGGTGGAGAGAAGAGAAAGGGGGAGAGGGAGGAAGGAGAGAGAGAGGGAAGAGGGAGAGGGAGACAGAGAGAGACAGAAAGGAGAGAGAGACAGAGAGAGAGGAAAGAGACACAGAGAGATAAAAAGAGAGGACAGAGAGAGAGAGGACAGAGAAACAGAGACAGGCAGACAGACAGAGACAGAGGGAGAGGAAGAAACAGAGAGACAGAAACAGAAAAGGGGAGCAGAGAAAGGGGAGAGAGAGGGAAGAGGGGAGGAGAGAGAGGAAGAGGGAGAGGGAGACAGAGAGAGCGAGAGAGAGGAAAGAGACAGAGAGAGACAGAGAGAGACTGAGAAGACAGAGAGAAAAAGAAGAAAGAGAGAAAAGAGAAGAGAGAGACAGAAAAAGAGGGAGGGAGGCAGAAACACTCCTCCCATAATAAACAAAACATATGGACCCCACACTCCGTCGTCTTTAAAACAGCCACAAACATTCTCTCAGCCTCCAGCTGCAGATGTCATGGCTCAGGGCCTGGGCTGGGGTGCTTCAAAGGTGCACAGAAAACAGCAGATTTAGTTTTCAATCAAACCCAGAACTAGGGTGTGTGATGAGGGCGTGTTTTTTCTGAATGAAACTCCAGCCAGGCTTCCTGACTTCTCAAGTCAGTTCCGCATGGCTTGACTACTCCATAACCTTAGGAGAAGTTTAAAAAAAAAAAACTCAGGACCTCAAAATGAAACTGTGAGTCATGGGTGTGTGTGAGTGTGTGTGTGTGTGTGTGTCTGTGTGTGTGTGTGCGCATGTATGTGTGTGTGTGTGTGCGCGTGCGTGTGTGTGTGTGTGTGTGTGTGTGTGTGTGTGTGTGAGCGCATGTTGGGGGGAAGCATCTTCTTCCATTTCATCAAGGCTGCGAAGGTCTCCATTCCCTGTTTTTCCAATTAGCAGGCCTGGCCTAAAGCCTGTATGAAAGCTCTTCCTTATGTAACTCCCAGGGGGGCAGGCACCTTCCGATGTTTTCTCCCGCAGCTCGGCTGGGGGGTCGGGATGGGGGTGGGGGAAAGCATCAACCCCTCCACTGCCTCCTCCCCCCTCAAGCAACAGTTATGTTTGGGGGGAATTGGTTGAAATTTCCCCGGTTTAGTTTGTCAGGGGGGGAATCTTTGGGGTGGCCCAAGAGATGGGGACTCGCCTCCCACTCACCTAACCTTTAGCCCAGAGGCTCCAGGCCCCCTGTGAGCTCGAAGGTGCCTTCCCTCCCGCCCCGGGCCTTTTGAGGAAGTCACTGGCCCCCACTGGGTTCTTCTTCACAGGGTGGAAAAGCACCCTCAGGGTCCACCCCCAGGAGGACAGGCCAGGATGACACCCCCTCCCCAGTCTGGCAGGTGGGCTCTGCTGGCATGTCCTGGTGCTCAGCCCAACGGAGGGGCCAGATGCATCCTCCCGGCCCCTCTCCTCAGGACCACTGTCCCTCCTGACCCCCCGTCCCCACCCTGCCTCAGCTGCCCAGATCTCCTGTCCCTTTAAAGAGAGTTGAGTCAGATGGGTAAAACCGAAAGTGAGTCACTCTGGACTTGGCGGTCACTGGAATGGCATCTCCAGCAGGCCGTGGGGGAAGAGGAAGCGGCCGACCACAGCAGCCTCCAGCCTCCTTCGAGCTGTTTGACTTCAGAAACCACAAAACCCCATTGAAATTCCATTGTGAAGCAGGGTTTGTGGAATGAGGCTCCCGTGCATCACGGGGTCATCCACAGCTGGGCCCAGGGCCCGAGCATGTGGACCTGCTTCTCCACTGGGGTCCCCGCCGGCCCATGAGGTCATCGCTAATTAAGAGTCTCTCCTTTGATTTGTGAAAGGAGCATGCACACGCACACGCACGCGCACACGAGGGGGCACAGCTCCCATCAACAGGACAGAGATGCTGCTGACAGAAAAGCCACAACTCAGGGGAAACCCCCCCCTTCCCCCCAGGGGGAAGGCTGAGTCCTCCTGCAAATGCTCCAAGCCGCCCCACAGAGTGCAAGGGGCCGCACAGGGAGGCCCCCTGAGGTGTGAGCCCCACCCGTGCTTCTTCCCTCCAGGGTCCCTTAGCTGGGAGAAGGCCTCCCTCAGCCCTGGCTGCTGCCCTGGCTTTGATCTGGGCACCAGCACCACCTGACCCAGCCAGCTCTTGGCTCGGCCCACGATGGACACCAGGCAGGTCAAACTGCAAACAGGCAGGTGGGCGTGACCTTAGGGTTCAATGCCGACAAAGTCTCCCCAGCCAATCGCTCTGAAACCCACGTTTCTTAAGCAGTGCTGGGCACTGAGCTAGGCACTGGGCACACCGCTTCTTGGGGAAAGAAAGAAAAATAAATTCCACTAGAACATAAGCTCTTCATGGCCAGGGATGATTTCATGTTTGTCTTTGCATACCCCGAGCATGGTACATGGCTGGCACACACTAGGTGCTTAATAGAGGCTTGTTGAATTGAGATTCCTCCACTGAGCACCTGCTGCATGCAAAGCCATTATGGCCTAGGCTTCAGTCTCATTAGGCCCTTCCAGGAGATACAAATTAGGGTAAAGAAAAAATGCACTACTCCTCCTCCTCCTCCTCATGGCCTTCCCAAGAGCCGATCAGTGCTGGAATTAGACCCATTTTACAGAGGTTACCAAGGTCTTCCAACCTCTGAGCTCAGTATGCTGCTGCCATCTGAGGTCTCGAGGCACAGAAGCTTGGAGTGAGAAGGGGCCGTCACTGCCCATTCAAACCAACCCGGGTGACCCCAAGGCAGCAGAGAGATCCCCAAGCTGGCGGGCTGGACGCCCAACCATGACTCATTCTGTGACCTGGGGTGAACCCCTACCTTTCTGGGCCTCATTTATTACTCCATGAGGCAAATATTGATTGGGTAACTTCTCTGTGCCAGGCACAGGGCTTATCGGCCTGATGGGGAAAATAGAGCCCGCCCAGCCCAAGGGTGGTGTAGATTGAGGCTGAAATGAGATAACGGGTACCCTGGGAAAAGTCTCTGCAAGGTGTCGAGCCCTGGGAACTGCATCTTGCAGACGCCCCTTGGATAAAGGCCCCCCCCCAGTGCTTCCCTTGACCCCCGAGGGTGGATGCAGCTACCAGAAGCAGGAACCTGCAGAGAAGCTGGCTCAGGCTGGAGGCCAGGCTCTTCTGACCCCCCAGGTGGAGCAGGGGCTGCATCAGGAGCCCCCTGTCCCAAGAAGCAGCTGAGCAAAGGCTCAGAGGGCTTCTGGTCCAGGTATGACTTGGGCCAGAATCTCTGTCTGAGATTCCGCAGCTGCCAAACATGTGGGGAGTGGCGAATAAAGCCCCTTTTCCTAGAGAACTGGAAGGATGTGGGAGCCCGGGCTGGCTCGAGGTGCCGAGCAGGCTGGCAGCAGGGCACAGGCTCTGACCTATGATGCTATGCTTATCTCCCCATTTGACCATAAGCTCCTGGAGGGCCGGCACTGTCCTTTGCCTCATCTTCTATCCCCAGGGCTTAGCATAGGATCTGGCACTCAATCAATGGCACTTAATCAATGTTCACTAACTGACTGACCAAACAGAATAATAATATTTCAGCAAATAAGGACAGAAGAAAAATGACCAATTGAGAGCTGAAACCCCAAATAATAGACC